TTAAAAAATTAAATATTGATTCTGCGCATAGCCAGTGGCGCTGACGGGCGGTCATGTGTTTGCAATGCGGGTCTACGTATGCAGCTCATCTATAGATCGAAACGGGCAGGGATGAGGACTGAACTAGAAATTCCTGGGTTCTGAAGCGCCGCTTTTATAGACGTCCTCCAATCGCGATCCACTAGAACACCCGTACATTGCATCCGTATTATATATTTCAAATTGGCTGACCTATGTCATCGGAATATTCCAAACATTTGAACTGTTAATATCAAAGGAGCGTTTGGCGTCGAACAATCGACACCTTTAACCGATTGGTACATAGCTGCGCATCGGCACTCAGCTAACTAACCATCAAGCCTTCCTATAGATGAAATTATAATATCTGTGTCTGCTCTGTTTCTTTGTCGGTCCGTCAACGTCGGCTTTTGTGGCACATTTTAGTACGATGTAACTACGGCAATGCCTGCAGGAACGCGGACTAAATATACACACAAGTCTGTACATTTAAGAAAGAAAATTATTCTAGCACGCGACAGGCGAGACGGAATGTCCAACGTGCCTGAATGTCCAACGAGACGAAAGATCCAACCGAGACGGAATGTACAACGAGCCTGAATGTCCATCGAGACGAAAGATCCAACCGAGACGAAATGTCCAACGAGCCTGAATGTCCAACGAGACGAAAGATCCAAGCGAGACGGAATGTCCAACGAGCCTGAATGTCCAACGTGCCTGAATATCCATTATTGGATCGTTCGTCTCGTTGGACATTCAGGCTCGTTGGACATTCCGTCTCGCAATCGTTGCAACCATGTGAGGCAGTTGGGGTAGTTGCTAGATTAAGCGCGAAGGACGCCGCGTAACTATGACTCGGACAAGCTCATCCTCCCGAATAAGTATCGGTTGTCAATGAATGTATATGGCAGAGCTTTTATGGTGCCTCAAAAAACGACTGAAGAGTCCCTTGACAGGGTTCGCCTACGCCTCGAAGTCCTAAAAAATGACTAAAAATATAAAACACATCGGATATCGCAAGTCATTTATATTATGCTACTTTTCCGAACACACCTTCAGACGCGTGTTCACCGTCTTGCGTTCTCAAGATGGAAGAATAATATGGACGACACTCATGGATTCCGAGTCAGTTTATTTTTAACATAACGCAGGGCGTGTTCGACAGTTTTCGAAGATTCCGCCATTACTGCTCGCAGTCACGCTGACAGTCTGCCAGAGTGGCGAACCTCTGGCAGTCGTGGGGCCCGGTCATTGACGGGGTGGTCACACACCGGCCCGTTGCCGGGTTGTAGCGGGCCGTGGTCGTCACTGTGTGGCCTGGGTCCGGGTTGCCAGGATTGATGCAAGCTGCACACAATGGGAATAAGTGGGGCCTTCCGGCGTTTAGTATGGTACTAGATTAAACTATACTTCGCCGGATTGCTGCAAGATGTCTTCTGGTTCCCAGACATGCGGGCTAACGTAGTTACTGAAAGTACAAACCTAAGGGCGGAAAAAAGGACACATTTGTCGTTTTTTCCGTCCTTGTGTTTATATCTTTAATAACGTCTAAAGGCCCAACCACTCGGGTGCGCTAATAACGCGCTCCATCGGCGTCCGGGTCTCCCCACATCAACACGCACCTGACGAGAGAAAGGGCGGCGAACCAACCTGGAAGACAAGGCCTGCGCTATCTTCTCCCTCCCAAACGGCATCACTATAGTGAATCCAAGCGATGCCGTCTAGCGAGCGTCAGAAGCACCGTCGTCGCGTCTCAAAGCGATTCGCAACGAAGGCGACACTAGCATGTCGCGACGCCAAGACGGATGCGTGTTCGAATTAGCGGCGTCTTTCCTTGAGCTTCTACGCGTTTGCCACTTTGGGGGGTCGCGGATCCACTAATGATGACATAATAACCAGGTCTTGTCCTCTTGGCGCTATCAGACAAACCCCATGGGGACATGGACCTGCTCGCGTCAGTCTGGTGCTACGCAGTGTCAGCAGATCGACTGGGCCTAAAACGTCGCAGAACCGCCTAGTTATAGAGCATTGGTACTGCACAAGGAAGGTTATTTAGAGCTTATAAACTTTTCGAATTAAGTTTGCGTTACAGGAATCTAAGTATCAGTACCAAAACAGTCGTATAGACCCTGCTGCGTCGCCTGCACCGAGACTGATTTGGAGGTTGCAGAAGGTACGCACGACCTCACTTCCTCCTTGCGGGACTCTGATTGTTCTGTGACTGGGAAGCCACTTCCGGCGTGAACGCCGGGTTATGGCCAAAGCCAACGTGGGTCAAAACGGGCATTGGCGCCTCACGCGCGCACGCATTGCTTTGGGAGACGTCGAGCGACGCCTGTGCGGGCGGTAACACGTTACAAGTAACGGCGTTACTGATAACACGTTACAAATAACGGCGTTACCGGTAACGCGTTACTTTACTTTGTAAAGTAGTAACGAACTCATTACATTCTTAAAACGGTAACGGGTAATGTACTTACATTACTTGTTTCGAGTAACGCGAAACCGACGTGCTAAAATACACATTTGATGAAAACTCGAGACCTCTACGTGCAAGCGCCCATTTTTACAGCGGATATAACTGTCAGTGTCGGAATATATGCCGCCGTGTAGAATGTTCTCGCTTGTTCTACAAAGGAGCAACGTTCCTGCACGGCATTGCAACATGAACGACAAGGGGGTACCAAGACGATTACATACCTTGAGGGTAAGCACATGTGTGCCGAGAGTTGGAACGATCCGCTTCTGAAATGAGGTACGGGGACATGTAAAATTTTTTCGCTGCCAAGAAAAACATATCCTGACGGTAGAAGTTTCTTCAGCCCCCAGATTGCTCTACCAGCGATCGCATATAGTGTTACCCCCGATTCATCACCTATTGGTTGCTCTGTCCCTTTGCGCTTCAAATCTGTAGGACAACAGTAAAGAACAGAACCAAAATAACTATTTGTTGGCTACCGATGACACTTTGGTGGCACCGACTATCGACGATTGCTACTTTTTTCTATTTCGTTAGACACGAAACGTTAGGTCCTTTCATAACTTCAGCGATAAGTGTGAGATACTTGTAAAAAGATACGTTGAAATACCCTTTTTATTTAGAGTTGATTTCCACCGACCTCACACAAATCAACGTGTTTGTGAACAAGTATCATACTTATGAAGATTTGCGAGTCAAAACATAAACTGGGTTGTTTGACGAACCAGGGAATATATTGTTTGTAGCGGTAGTGGGAACGAAACGTTAACACTAGCCGCACGTAACGTTAAAAGCTAAAATTTAAACTCTCAGATTTCCAGAGCAGTATTTTTTTTTCTTTCCATATATTGCTCGGTTAGACCTTAAGCGTTAGCATCTTTCGATAACACCTCATAAATATAAGGCTCTACTGAAGTTATATCAACAGAAACACGGAGGCGTTGACTTGTTTGAAAGCTGAAGTTGAATTTAGCCATTCAGTCATTAACACGACTTCACGAATAAAAAAAAAAGTTTAGAATAAAGATTTTCACTCGAACCAGATTACGAGCCTTGACCAAGTTTGAAATTGCGTTACATGGCCCAGATCATTCAACGCCCAGAGAAATGCGAATTGGCGTGGACTTGTGTTCGAGCTCAAATTCCACGTATTTGCAGGTTGTAGAAGAACGTGCAGAAACAGCTTATAGCGTTGCCGTCAATTTGATCGGGAATTAATTCCATCGTAGATAGGAATGGCGACCCCCAAGGTTGCTTGAAACTGTTTAGAAAAGGAATTTTATTGGCGATTGCCAGCATTGAAAAACGCGGCCTCCTGAGCTTTAGATGTGGTGACAGGAAGCTCACACGATATTGTTTTCTTATGTCGTTCACTTATTTATATTTCATGAAGGAAGGAATGTGTTTCCTCTAAATTCTAATAAAGCTTTTGATAACTGGTAACAATGAGTTTAAGCGCCGAAATAGCTGGTGTCCTTACTTCGGAGCGTTGATTATTTTTTGGCAACTAATTTAATCCAAGCTCGCTAAGCGCCCAAAATGGTGATCAAGTGAAGGTTAACTTCTGTCTTCCCCCCTCACCCCCCTCCCCTCCGGTATGCGCTGTCGTTCGATGAGTATCTTCGAAATCACCCGATCACCCGACGAATACGTACCTTGAGAAAAATCAGGTATGCATGGACAACAGTTTGGACGAAAAAGTTTCATCCCCAGGGGCCTCATCCAACTGACTGTGATTTTCGCGAGCCGCACATTTCAGTCTACTCATTCCAGTGCTAAGTAATGCACACAATATACATGCAAGAAATACTTACGGCACGCCATGGCAAAGAGGAGAACCAACAGGATCGCCACCTTGGAAACGTACGCAAACTTAGCTGCCATGTCGAGTTAGTTCGTTGTGTATACGACTCGTGATGACCAGGAAACGTGTTGAACATGGCGATAAAGGGACGCTTATTTAATGAGTCCATCAGGCAGTCGAGGCTCACTGTGGGTCCGTGTCAAATTTTTTTTAAATATTCAAAAACATACAAAATAGTAACTTCCGCCACGTGTATACAACAACACCCAGCAATTCGGACACAGGATGAAGGAGCTTTTGTTTTTATAATTGGCCAAATTATTCGGACAACAAGGTGGGAAACGGACGTGCTTAATGCTCCTTTTTCGAAGATTCGCCAAAAAGTTGAAGCTAAGTGCCGTGGAGTGAGCCTATGACAGCTTCAAAGTTTGTTTCCAACTGTGGCGGGAAACGGTGGAAATAGAAAACAAATTACACTCATCGTTTGTCGCACATTTTCGCTCGGGGTTCCGAACTTCCCGAAAAAATTACCGGACGTTCGCATTTCGAGTTAGATAAATTATCTGAAAATGTGTTGTAGTCCCACTCAGAACGACACAAAGCGTAGATTGCGTATTAGAGTAGCCGTATAAAAGACCGCTTATCAGCCTATTCAGCGCGTGTCCTTTTCATCAGTTCCCATAACGACAAGCTCGAGCGATATGGCAGCTAAGTTTGCATACTCAACCAAGGCGGCGTTTCTGCTAGTCCTTTGCTTCGCCGTGGCGTGCAGTGAGTATATACTTCTTCTTGTGTTCGGTGCACAGTCTTTAGAGCTAGAGACCAAGGAGCCCTAAGAAAAGACCACTTTAAAGCAAGAACTGCCATCATGATAGGCAACGCCTCTTGCCATTGACATATACGCAGACACCTCTACAAGTGACTGGCAGTGGTAGAGCGTGCTGAAATGGGAGAGTGCCATGATGGCTCACTCTTATATGATGCTCTTGTTGTGAACTGTCACTACGTAGTATGTACCAGACGGGGGCGCGGCCGCGTTCCACGTCCCTTGTTGCTCCTTATTTTGCATTTTTGTTCCCTCAACGCGCATGAGTGGAAAATTAGCGACCAACTTTGGTGCTTTTATTCTATCTCTCTGCGATCGGCTAATTCTTATGCATTCTATTTTATGGCCATCTGGGTATACCCTAAAGAAAACAAAAGAAAGGAAGTTTTCCTAACAATAAGGAAAACCTAAACAAAACCTTCGTGCGAGTCGAGTTTCATTGTCGATGCACCGTAACCAGGCCATAGAGTAAATGACCCTATCAGGCCCTAACCTACAAACGAACCAATAACAAAATAAGGACGCGCTCGTCTACAAGTAGGACATTTGTTGCCCGAACTGTCGTCAGAAATATTTTTTGACACCGTTGCCTCACTATTGGCCGATATACCAAATATGCATAAAACATGGCCTCCAGCCAAAACGGCCGGAGTAAGCCATGTTGGATGCTAATACCTTACTTGAAGAGTAGCAAAAGTCAACGCGCATGACGAATCGCATGTCGGCGCGAGGAGAAAAGTGTCTGCAATAACTCCCTCAAATTAGTCCCATACAATTTGCACTGTCACGCAGACACTTTTAATTGGAAGTTTTAGCGAGTCGTTTTTCAATCACAAGGCTTCAAAATCATGCGCGGTGAAGCTGCTCCACTTCGTGAAGACGTATTTTAAACGTAAAGGCGTTTTAGCGATTCGCAATACCAACGCAACCGTTTAGACAACGCAACCGTTTGGCCGTCAGCGGCATCTCATGGTAAACATTTGAAACGTTCCGCAGGGTGCAGATATATGTGGCTCGGGTTTCACAGCGCACAATGTTGTCACCTAGACAGCCAAGTAAACATTTACCGGGAGGAATGTCAAGAACTCTGAAGTTAGAGTAAAATGTGTCCCAATGACCAGAAGGGTAGATGATTCGTCTCTATACTCTTGAACTTGAACAATAATTCAAGTCGTGTACCCTAGGAATTCGTCTGCGCGCGGTCCCCACGGCGGCTTATTAGCCCGAACCACGAAAATTTAATCACACGCGTTGTTTACTGCAGTTCCGATCCCTTGCCATTGTGAGTAGTCTTCGAAATCATTTGGTTCGACATCTCAGACAAAGTTGATGTAACAGGATGGCAAATGGCCTTTCGCTGTGGTTAAGCGCGAAACACATGTACGACGAAACTGTCCGATCCGACGTGCGGACTGCCGGAATGACCTTCGGGGGAAAGGGTTTTCGTAGCATCGGAGAGCGTTGAAAACCCTCGCCTCCGACCGTCGTATTGCGCGGTCGGACGTCGGATCGGACGGTTTCGTCGTACATGTGTTTCGCGCTTTAGCCTAACTCTGGGCTGGGCGGGCGGAGTGGGCCGACGTTTGCATTTCTTCCGAGTCGTCAACGGTGTTGGTTGCGTTGCGGTGACGACTTCAGAAGTTGGAGTGGGAGAAACGAACGAGAAACGCCTCTCGGATCCCCCGGCGACTCGAGTACGCATGAGCATTAATTGTTGTCGGCGGAGCGTTCGAGGATGAAACATATGTGTCGAAACGACTTACTAAAACTCTCTAATGAAGGTGCGGACGGGTAGAGAGCTCAAAGTGCGCCTTTCATTTAGGAACTCTGACGAAATGGAGTCCTAAACACCTCCATCTGCTAAAATGTGGCGACTAACAAAAATATGGCCATGGCATACCAGACACGTAGTACACATACGTATTATCTACCTGTTCGGTGATTACGGATAAAATATAATCGAATGGTCCACTTTTTCGTCTCGATTTCAGATGCTGTACAGCGTGCAAGTTCTAAACACGCGTGTGCCTATCCCCAAGGTACGTGACTTTGCCCTTCTTCAACTCCGGTATTATGGTGCTGTGCCGAGATTTCTGCTTGCGTAGAACAAGAAGGGTGGATTATATTTGAATTCTGACTTGGAGCACTTGTACGGTATACCAGGACACAGCTAGTGTTATTCTCATCATTCGCCTCAGCTCAAAGAGGTACTCATCTCGCCCCGAAATATAAATATCTTAGTACGCAGTGATGAAAGGTATAACACAAATTTTATTTGCCCTCTAAGAACTAAAGCCCAACATCTCACGTCACGAGATATATTTAAGCAATTCCAAAACACGAGTTTTTTTTAGTTTCTTTTGTAGTTTACTGTATTTATTTGAAAATCTGGACAGGGACCCAGCACATCTCGAAGAAGGCGCTGAACGGCGCAAATATTATTCTGGAAAGTTTGTCACCAAGTTTGGTTACCTGCAAAATACAGCGGATGAACCCGTGCGCAACTTGCTCCGCATTTTTTAAAAACACATTGTGAAAGTCTGATGGAACTACCGATACATAACTTGCGCTGATTTCACGGCCCATGCCATTGTGGTGGCGTGATGCTGAGTGTTTACATTTTGCAGCATACATCTTGAACCACAAAATTTGTTTTAATGCGAAAACATTAACTGTTTCATGGAGTGAAGCCGGCGTTGTCTGTAACCGTTGTCTGTCACCCTCTGTAGAAGAAAAACGGCCCCTTAATTCCCCTTTCACAATAAAACAGAAAGGAAAGCACAGCAACGCAATGCTTCGTCACGGAAGCCGTAGTGAAGGCGGCAGGGTTCGGCGCGCCTGCGCAGTAGGAGCGTTATGTCACCGCCGGGGCGCCGTGTGCGATAGGAAGACGTGGCTCGCTGCTTGTAGGAGCGCACTGAGCGTAGGAATGCTTTCGCATTCCTACAGTAAGTAGTCTTAAGTGTCTCTGCCCAATTTTCTATTCTAGGAAGTAACAGGGAGCACTGACCACCAACATGGGGCAATGATGTCAAGTAAAAACCGTGTAAACAATCTGATATTTTTTTTGCGTTTCTTTTTGGCTCCGAGAGTGCAATGCCTGAAGTAGCAGTTTGAGTGCGATTGGATTTCTCTTTATTTTGCGTCATTCTGCTCAACTTTTTTTGCTACATCGCGACTAGTAGGCTTAGGGGTGGGGATTAAATCGAGGAATTTAATGGGTTCAATCCCAACCCCTGCCCGATTCGATCTGAGGACCGTGTACCGGCGTGCGGTCGTGAATCACTACGTCGCTATGGACGTTACAGACCCCAGGCTTGTAGTGCTACTGCACTGGAAAAGATTTCTAATCTACAGCAAGACACTAGACATCTATTGAGGCTTACTAATTTCTGGCTGCCTAAACAGACGCACATAATACAATTACTACTTCCTTCTCTGAACGAGGAATATTTGCACACAAAACATTATACTTATATGCCTTTCTTTTTCTTCAAATCAAGAAATTTTAGAGCAGTCACGCTACAATTGCTAGTCTGGCCACCATGTAAGGAACATTTTTAGGTTTGGCGGCAGCGTGACAACCGAGGGCTGTGAGCCCTATCGACTCATTTTGTGTTTATATATTTTTCGCTATCGGTTACTGCACAGCAGTTGTAAAGGACAACAATCAAGGTTCCCCTTTGCGTGGAAAACAAAGGCACACTAGGCCCTGCGTATCTGTTCATGGCGTTATTGAAAACTTCGGTTAAATTCTAAGCTTAGTCGCCATGCCATAATCTTCCACCACACCAATTATGCCGCTAAACAAAAACAAAACATTTTAAACCGCAGTTGTTAAAGGGAAACTGAAGCGCGTCTGTATTTGAGGAAAATACTTAGATAGTCTTTACTTGGCCTCCACGACCACGAATATCGCGATTATTTTTCAACTTGGTGCACGGAGTCTCCGCTCTCGTGTATATTTAGCGTCATATCCAGAGTTCTCGAAATCTCCGCTCTCGGGCATTTTTCCCGCCTCTCAACGCTATACACGCGCACTCTTGCTATTTTGAAAAACGTTAAAAACACGCTCTTGGCGGCCAGAATATCGGAGGTTCTTCATGTTTTCTCACGTTTAGTTACAACTTCGGAGAAAACGAGCGTGATATTCAGATTAAAGTGATAAAAATACTCGAAAATTAACCCCTAACTCATTTCTTTTTCAAAAACATTTTCACCTTTATCTCCCCCCCTCCCTCGCAAAAAAAAAAAACACAAAAAACACAACAACAAAAAAACGTGCCCTCAACTTGGCGTCACATTTATGAAAAGTACTACAAACAGAGTCACCAGAAGCCGCGCTGTGCAAAGTAATAACAGCAGAACAAATATAGGTTTAATTTTGATCGGTGATCTTGACGCTTTAGCTCACGCACCACTCGACGCAAATTATGGCCTAGTACAGAAGCTGGGAAACAGAACTGAAGTAGAGTATTCACATGCACGGTCAGTCACCCAGCACGCAACGCACACTCGGGCTGCCCGTTTCTAATGACTGAAATGCTGGATTGAAGACAAGAAATACCGCGTGAACTGTTTGAAAGAGAATATTATAAAACGCAACCGACCAAAAAAAGAAAAAGAAAATTGTACTTTAGCAGCGTCCAGCTACAGTGCTTTGCAGCTTATGATGGAACGCAGCAGATGCCCCGAGCCACCGCAGCACTGTGCACGTCGTGACTGCACGCCCCCTCTTGAAGGTCACGTGACACTCATACGACGTTCCATTGGCTTCGATGGCTCGTAGCAGCCTAGCAGCCTATGGTAATATGCAACGGAGTCTACCGATGCGATCGGTGTCCAGGCGCCTGCGTTTGTATGTGATGCGACAGCCCTTGCTTTACATTGCCACAACAGCATTCTCGGCGCTGGGTTCCGCCGTGGCTTTCTGGAACAGCAGAACAAGCACCCCCAAGCAGCGTGTCGGGTTTTGTTATTATTTTGGTAACCATGATACTTGCTTCTTTTCTTGTGGAGTACTGTTTAGCAGAAAGAAAGCAAGCGAACAAAAACTTGGTTTTTGCCTCCTAGCCTAGCCAGCTTCCGCCTTCGAACCGACTTTCCGACGCCAGGTACAGGGCAGGATTACGTGCGAGAATTATTTATTTGTTTACTCGTTCCTGACTTGTCTCTACATTGTTGCCGTGTATTTAGGTAACTCCAGGCCGCTGACGTCAACAATCGCCACGCGCAAAAACAGGCGCAGCTCAGATTTCATTACGCCGAACCGTTTCCTGATGAACCGGTAATCGCCACTTGAGATAATGCTGTCGTTCCGGTTTGGGATCAGTGTCAAATGTTCCTTTACAGATTTGGTTTTGATCCGGTTCAAATAAAATAACGTTTCAGTTTCGGTTTTTGGTTTGGGTTCGTGTTCGTTTCGTCGCCGCCTTTTTTTTTTTTTTTTTTGGTATATACCCAACGCCAGAAACATCACATTCCCCCCTGTGTTTTTCTTGTTGCCCAAAGCTTGCACCAATCCTGGCAACCCGGACCCAGGCCACACAGTGACGACCACAGCCCGCTACAATCCGGGAACGGGCCGGTGTGTGACCACAGCGTCAGTGACCGGTCCACACGACTGCCAGAGGTTCGCCACTTTGGCAGACTGTCAGCGGGAGTGCGGACAGTAATGGCGGATTATTCGAGAACTGCCGAAGACGCCCTTCGATTTTTTGAATAAATACACCGACTCTCAATCAGACTTGTGCTCGTTCCTTGAAAAATGTAATGGATTACAATTTCAAATTACCGAACCTCATATGTAATGGATTACCGTTACAAATTACTTTTGCTGAAAAAGTAAAAGATTACTTTATCGTTACGTTACAAATTACATTCACGTTATTTTTTTCCATACAATTATCCAGAAAACAAGAGAGACAATTTTTATATTTTTTTTAAGAAATGTTCTGCAACACTACTTTTCATTTCTCATACGCCCGTATTATGGTAATCCTTGTAAAAATAGAATGTATTTGAGATTAAGAGTGTAGGTGCACTCCGTTCCCCTGTAAGCAACATGGCACCTAAAACTGCAACCACAGCCGCCATCCCTCTACTGTAACGGTCTCCGGAATTGATCCCTGGAAATGTACAGACAAAGCTAGCGGTGCGCATGCTAAGTAGCAGCGTCTACCTCCGCTACAAGATTCGGAGCTAAAAAAGCGATCTACAAAAGCTCCCCTTTGACTCGGGTGTTTCGCCTGTTATTCACAAGAAAAGAAAAAGTTGGTTTTAACGTTACAATGTACAGCCAATGCGAAATGCAAGTGTCCCAGTTTACCTTGATGTGTTTCCGTAGAATAGAGTTTGTTGTTCTTTCTGATGACAATGTGTTTGTGTGTGTGTTTGTTTTGGCGAGCAAAGTATGCACCGAAACTGTAGGATTCCGTTCTTCTTAGTCTCCTGAATTTTGAACATTGGATTAAGAGACGGCCATGGAGACAACGGACACTCCTATGAACAAAAGCTCAACCAGTCAGAGAAAAAGGGGTGGGTGCGGGCAGTGGCGTCACGAGGGTCAGTGGTACCCGGGGTGGTAGCCCGCCGCGCACCCCCGCTCTCGTGGCCCGTCGCGACACCCTCCTGAGCCCTGCACCCGGGGCGGTCCGCCCCCCCCCCCCCCCCCCTTGTGACGCCACTGGGTGCGGGATATCGATCGTTCATCGAATCTCAGCACTGCTTTATTAACCTAACCCCCGCCCTCCCCCCGAACCCTACTGTAAAGTGAGGAGTCGACTCGACCACCATGCCGCGAAAAGTAAACCGAAGGAAGTATCGTCCGTACCAGGGGTGTAGCCAGAGGGAGGGGGGAGGCTTATGGGGCGGCAGCACCGCCCCCCCCCCCGCCCCCGAAATCTTGCGGACCCTATAATATAGGCATGCATTTTGACCCCCCCCCCCTTTCCGTCTCCGCACTCCAAGTCATGGACATCTCAGCAACTTTAGCCCCCCCCCCCCCCCCCTTGAATGGCGTACCCTTGAAGATGATGCTTTTAGCCTCGCACCGGGCGCTTTTCAGCCGTGCCTCATGAGTGTGCTAGAATACAGTAGCGCACATCAAAGATACAGAGAATTTGGCCACCTCGCGCGAAGCTATATCGTCTGTTACGCGAGTTGTGAAGCCGCGAATCGAGGGTGCACGGAACCGCGTTTCATGTCTGTGCAGGTGGCGGAGGTCGTCGAAGAAGTTGGAAAGGGTGAAACGGTGTAAAAAAAAAATAAACGCGAAGTGTTTTCTCCTGCCTCGGAGAAGAAAACACAATGGAAGGCGACGGAGAGTGGAGAGTAGCCAAAAAGAAAACACGATTTTTTGTGTGACCGGTCACTAGAACCACTAGAAAAACGGGCAAGGCATGTACAAATATACGAAAGACAAAGATCAAGTAAGACAACGCCGAGTAGGCCACTCGGCGTTGTCTTACTTGATCTTTGTCTTTCGTATATTTGTACATGCCTTGCCCGTTTTTCTAGTGGTTCTAGTGACCGGTCACACAAAAAATCGTGTTTTCTTTTTGGCTACTCTCCACTTCGTTTTTTTTCTATTGTGTTGAACTTGCTCTTTTTTTGCTGCTGAATGTTCTGCTCGTATTTCTCTAGTTACTGTATTATGCTCATATTTAAAGAAAAGTGACGAGTAATTAAAGTAAAATAAAAACAGAAAGAATAAACATAGGGACGGACAGAACAGCACCTCTCTCGACTTTCAACACAAATAGCTTTGTTAGGCACCGGCACCCGACCCAAGAGACCCAGAGACGGAAAGGGGGTGGGCAAAAAGCGGGAACATGGAAAGGTAAGGGGTGGTGGGGAGAGGATAAAGGCGACACAGAGAGGAAAATTACTCGCGGGGGAGAAGAAAGGCCAGGAGAGAAGCCGCAAAGAAGCGAAGCCGCTTGAAACGAAATTATCGGACGAACGACCTAGGCCCGCGGGGTTCTTGTCAAGGCCAGAGTGTCGAACCGAAATTTTTATCGGTTCGGTTACGGTTCGGGTTCACGGCTTTCGGTTCGGTTCCGGTTCAGTTCCGGGAAGCAAAAAATAACGGTTCAAACCGGTTCGAACCGGTTCGAACCGGTTTGAACCACTAAATTGAGAATATATTTTTCGCGTTCTTCTGGCAACATACACAATTTACGCCGTGAAACGATGAACTATATAGTTTCTTCGATCGTCTGTGCAATTTAATTTTGTTTCTTAGGTACCAAAAATATTAAATTCAGTTATATAATTTCGACGCAAAGGTAAGAAAAAAATTTACATTAACATACATAACGTCGTGTTCATACGACTCTACATCCCTTTGGTTACCATGTAACATATATTTTACCTGAATCAAAATGTATAAGTACAAGAGTAAAGAGTTGAGCTGGTTGGTAAATACCTGTAAATAGATCAGCTTCAAATTTATAACTATACTGAGTTTTATTGTGCTTTCTTCGTGTTTAAGTAAAATAAAACAAGCTGATCTATTTACACGGTATAGAATGTTGTCGCAAAGTGTGGTAGGTCACCTAAAATACCCGTGTTTGGTACAACTTTGTGTCGCAGTGTTAAAAATGAAATCGTGATTGTGTCCTTGAACTAAGGAATTAATTACATCACATAAAATTATAAAATGAGCACCTCGGAGCTCATGCTAATTATGAAATAAGGTTTACGAAATACACTTCATAATATATATGTATATGATGATGACACAACTGAGCTAAAAGCAATAACATTTTCAGAATTTAACAAAAGTTTTAGGATAATTCCTTTCAGTCTATTTTTATAGAATCACCGAACGGCAATTCAAATGCTTGTTGTTCTAACCAGACATTGTTTACACTCAGCACCGCATGCACGCCACTAATCATGCAGCAAGAAGTAGTCGCAAGTGTTCACTCTAATCTATATGCACCTTCGCACTCAGATCGAATATGGCCCAAAATAGCGCTTGCCCAAGTGAACATTTTCTTATGCAGAATAAGCTGGCATAGCCTGGCTGTTGAGGTTTGTTCTTGACAAGATGCCGGTCAATTTAATTTGCAAATGAGCATCACCGTTGCTAACTGATGATTTTAACTCGATAGCGTTAAGGAGCTCTTGTCGCAGAAAAGCCGATGTCGGTGGCGTGACTGGAAAATCCTGATTGGTCGACAGGTTCATACGTCAGCTAGAGCTACATACCCTAGCGCAAGAATTTCAAGCAACCCACAATGCTCACGTGAAACGTGACATAACGCGTGGAATGAGAGTGATTAAAACATGACATGTAATGCGAATTAAAGGTCACCGTATGTCTCAAATGATTTCACTTTTAAAAGTAATTATTTTGCCTTAAAGGAAAAAAATTAAGAACTTTAGGCGGGATTCGAACCCACGACCTTTTAGTAGCGAGTCAGACGCTTTTCACTAGGAACGGCGCGAGCGTCTGGCACGACAAAAACGTGCTTTTTGGTAAGAGCGTTTTTGCAAGCAAAGTAGTTTCCGGAGTCACGCATTTTGGTCTGCGCCAAAGATGCAGGGAAGAGGAACCTTTACAACACCGTATGTTTTTGAAACTCCCCCCTCCCCCCTCCCCCCCCCCCCCCCCGACACACACACAAACACGCACTTCTTTATACAGCGGAGCTGTTAAGGGCTAGTTTCCCCAGTGTCGTGTCCGTCAGCAAACAAATGATGACACTAAACTCTGGACAGCTACCGCCATCTATAAATGACGACGACAACCAGACAACCGGCTTGCCGCTTGTCTGGTTGCCGCCGTCGCGCATAGATGGCGGCAAGCTCTCCAGACTTTCCACTCTGGCCTGCCGACTTGCGGCCGGCCATTACTTCATTTCCACCATAGTACAGCTTCGCTGGTCTTCCTTCTTCACCAGAGTGGAAAGGCTGAAAGCATTCCTGACAAATTGCCTCCTCCGTTGGTGTGTGTTCATTCGACAATTTTATTTGACACTTGTTAACCGCAACCCTTCATTGCTTTTATTTTGCACCCCGTGAAGTTTAGATGGGTCATAAAACGACATCGGGTTGGAATGTTCATGACTTTTCCGAGGCGCATTGATTCTAGTCTGGCCCAAGTTTACTCGCACAGACCGCCACTAATTCAGAAGCTTCTTTGTCGTGGTGAAATTGGGAGGATCAAATGAGACTATTTCTTTTAGTCTTGCCTTCCCAAAGATTGATGTCGCAATTGTAGGATCAAAACCACCTGCCTGACGACAGTCGAGCGCGGCTCATGAATTGGACAGGAGGACTGCGTGAGCACCGTACATCGGCTCGTAACAATCAATGTCTTGGCAGACACTTGGGTAGTGGTTCGTGTCCAACCAGTGCGGTGATGAGAATAGCCGAACTCTAACAATGCCTGGAGCTGAGCACGCGTTTTCTTCCTTTAAAACCCAAGCGCGGGGGTATGATTAACGTTGGCGGCATAAGATAGGCACCAGGCCACATGGCCGCTTATGGCTCCGAATTGAGGGGATGAACGATGCTCATATTTCTCGAATTTTTTGGCGACTGCCATTGCCTAGAAAAAAAGAGCAAAAGCCAAGTTCAAGCAGTTATTAACGTTAGGGAGTGATCCTGAATAGTATTTAGTGATGTATAGAAATATTTTATAGCTCCTTTAAGCAAAGTACAGAGGGAGTCTAAACTTGGGCAATACCTTAAGAACGACGCTCGTGTGAGACTTACAGCGACTGCCGAC